CACCTCAGCCCCTGCCTCTGCACCCCTCGCTGTCCCCTGCCTGGGTCCTGTGTGTCCCGGGAGCGACTCCTGCCTGTCCCCGTCTCCCGAATGTCCCCGTGCGCGTCCCCTCCGTGTTCCCTGTGACTCCCGTGGCCTCTGCGCGCCCGTGCCCTCTGCGTCCCACGTGTCTCCCGTGCTCTCCACTGGACCCCCATGTGTCCCCGCGTCCCTTGTGTGCACCCTACGTGTCCCGTGTCCCCCACCTGTCCCATAGGTACCCTCTCAAGCATGTCCCACGTGTGTCCCCACGTCCCCGGTGTGTCCACCTATGTCTCCCGTGTGTCCCCACATCCCATGTGTTCCCCCATGTCCCGTGCGTGTCCTCTGTGTCCCCACATCCCACGTGTGCCCCGTGTCCCACGTGTGTCCCATGTGTCCCCCACGTCCCATGTGTGCCCCACATGTCCCCCGTGTGTCCCCACCCCTCCCACGTGTGTCCCCTATGTATTCTGTGTGTGTCCCCTGTGTCTCCTATACATGTCCCCACATCCCATGTGTTCCCCCTACGTGTCCCGTGTGTGTTCCCTGTGCTATACATGTCCACATCCCATGTGTTCCCCCTACGTGTCCCGTGTGTGTTCCCTGTGTCCCATGTGTGTCACCATGTCCCCTGTGTTCCCACTATGTGTCCCGTGCGTTTCCCCTGTGTGTCCCCACACCTCCTACGTGTGTCCCCTGTGTCCCGTGCGTGTCCCCTGTGTGTCCCATGCATGTCCCCACGTCCCCTGTGTTCCATCTATGTGTCCCATGTGTGTTCCCTGTGTGTCCCCTGTGTGTCCCCACGTCCCCTGTGTTCCCACTGTGTGTCCCCTGTGTGTCCCCACACCTCCCACGTGTGTCCCCTATATGTCCCATGTGTGTCCCGTATGTCCCCTGTGTGTCCCATGCATGTCCCCACATCCCATGTATTCCCCGTGTCCCGTGCATGTCCCCTGTGTGTCCCCACACCTCCCACGTGTGTCCCCTATGTGTCCCGTGTGCGTCCCATGCGTGTCCCCACGTCCCATGTGTTCCCCCACGTGTCCGGTGCGTGTCTTCTCTGTGCCCCGTGTGTCCCATGCGTGTCCCCACGTCCCGTGCGTGTCCCCTGTGTGTCCCCCCCCCGTGTCCCCTCTGTCC